ATACCCTCTCTGACATACAGAGCCACCCCACCTCCAGCCCTTCCCCCCCATCCTTTCGATATAATATATAACCAGGAATCACCGTATCCTACTGATTTTCATTATCCCACCAAGTTTCTGAAATACCCACAATGTCTATTCCCCCCCCCCCACAACAGCAAGCACTCCAACTCCCCAGTTTTACCTCGGACACTTCTAGCACTTCTAACACCTATAATTTCCCATACATGTTAAGCCTGCAACTTTCCTCTTGCTCTCTTGAGACCTTGTCAGGCAGTCCATATCACTAGCCATAGTCTCAATGGACAATTTCAATCTACCTCCCTGTAGAAAAGCAACAGCTACCCCCTCATCTCTCCGAGATGGGTATAAAAGAAGAGCTTTATGCCATTGCGCTCTCTCTCTTGCTTCTTCCTCTCCTGACCCCACCCTACCTTGTTGGTTCCATTCTCGGCCAGTTTGGAATCAGTCTACATGTGTTGCTGGTCAAGTCACAATCCCTTTTCCCTTATTGTGTTATTTTTCACTGCATGATCCAAGCGTCTCACTGGATATTTCCTACTCATACAAACATCTCTATACTTTCTACTCTGTATTCTTAGCCCTGTATTGTGTGTGTGCATGCTTGATTTTGTTTGTATGCTTGAAGAACCTTTAGTAAAGAAATAATTACTTTAGCAATCTAGCCTCAGCATCTATTCCTGCATCCTGGGAACTCCCATAAACACCGGTTATGGTCCCATATTTTATGCCTATTGCCATTTAAGATTCATAATTCCCCAAGTTTATTAATAAAAATAAGACAGTTTGGATAACAATGCCCCCAAGAGCAACCACCCACCGGGCCACCCCTCTCCTTCCCCTCCTGCCTGATTTAAAGGGATTCAGCTGATCGGCGGGGACCAGCTGGAGGGCCCTTTAAATCTAGCAGAAGGGAGGGAGAGGGGCGGTCACAGGCTGCATGCTTGGCTCACAAAAAGACCCTTTAAAGACCCCTTTTGCGAGTGGGGTGGGGGCTACGGTGCACAGGGCTGGGGGAAATACCACATTATGACTTTAAATGGCTATAAAGATAAATAAGTGCCTCATAGCCAAAAGAGACTGGTGGGTGGCAGAAGAAGAAAGATCTCAAGGCTGGACTGCCGTTCATGAGGACAGCTGAAAAGAGTGCAAAGGCAGAGAACCTGTGGAGGCTGGCATCAGAGAGCAGGAACTCAGAGAAGGTGTGAGGTGATCAAAGGAGACTGTAAAGACTGACAGGAGGGCTGGCATATGGGGGGGGGGGGGGAGGAAGCCAGCATTTGCAGCC